CCCACCCGCTCGCGGTGTCGACGTACCACCCCCGTCCGCCCTTGCTGCGGACGATGCGCCACGCGCCCGCGCCAGCCCCGAGCGCGTTGAGGATCGGGATCGACAGCTCGATGACGCGCACGCGCGTCGGCGGCTCGACCACGGCGGGCGTGGTGGAGAGGGTGAACACGAACGGCGGTGTGCAGAGCGGGCGAATGAGCTTTGTGTGCAGTGCGACGGACGCCTTGCGCGCGAGGCCACGGTGCTCGAGCTCGGGCGAGGTGCCAAGGAGGGTGAGAACCTCGACATTGGGCGCCTTTGCGAGGATGAACGCGGATACGGTGGACAGCTCGAGGTCGGGGATGTACGACAGCCCGAGGGAGCGCAGCTTGAGCTGGGGCTTGATGACGTCTGCCAGGAGGGTCTTGGACACGGGGGCGCTGGAGAGGTCGAGGTACACAAGTTCGCCGCTGGTGAAGCATGGCGCGAGCGTGAATATTTCGTGCAGCTGGTGCTCGAGGAGCGGGCAGGTGAAGGTACGGTCGCCGTAGAGCGTGAGCTCGCGGATCTGCGATGCAGCCGGTGCCTGAATGAGGAAGTCCCGGATGCTCTGGCCTGTGAGCCGGATGCAGCGTGCAAGGGCCAGGCTGTGTAGGCGCAGGGTGTCGCTGGCGCCGAGGGCGTACAGAAGCTCCGGCTCGGCACGCGTGCCGGACAGGTCGAGATGAGTCAACGACGGGAATGAGAGAACAAACAGGTGGAGAACGTGTGGCTGAATCGACTTGACGCCACGCAGGCCCAAGCGTTGCAGACCAGGCAAAACAAGCGGCTCTTCAGGAAGAGTGCGCGCAAAGCGCGCCCTCCTGCCCTCGCGCCTGTAGTCCTCGTCCTCGCTAGACTCGGCTTCAGCCTCGGGCGCAACCAAATGCTCGTTGACAAAGTCGGTGAGCGCGTTGACGAAAACGGCGCTGATGCACCCGGTGAGGTCAACCGCTTCGAGGTCCTTGCAGTCTCGTCGGCGCTCGCGATCTTGCTCCTCTGCGTCATTGTAGTCTGGGTTCATCAGTTCACGTCCGCGGGACGGACGGCCCCGGCCGCGTGAGGGGCTGCCACGCAGGAAAAGCTCTTTGAGAACGGCGAGATTCAGTGCGCCGTCCATGTATTCGGTTGCGCCGAAAGTAACTAGGTTGGGCAGTTCCTGTAGAATGCTCAGCAATAATTCTACAGCGTAATAATTAGTGTTGGCTCACTTTAAGAACCGCCTCGACGCGGTCGCCTGTGACGAATCGACTGTTCACGCCCTCGTCGACGGAACGACGCATGCCGATGGTCCGGAAGTGATTGAAATCGAGGTGATAAACAAAGCGACCAGGCCGTGTGTCCTGAGGAGTTTGGACTGAAACAATACCATAAATTTATTGGTCGAAAAAAAGGCAAGAGAAGACATACTGTATAGGCCAGGGTTGCTGTGCTGGAACGCACTCTGAACCGCGTCGCTGATAGAGCGCATCATCTTCCACCTAGCCGGACTCTTGCTCTTCGTCCGAAGACGCCTGGGAGAGGGTTCTCGGGACGCTGGCGGCGAGAGCAGCTCCGGGGGAATAGATCCGTCCGGGCCACTCAGTTCAGCCAGGATACATTCCTGGAGCCTGAGCGCAATGCGGGCATCATGAGGGACGCCCATAGACGCAGTCCTGGCCAAAGCCGCACCTGTGGCAGCCTGGATGGATTTCTCTATCGCCAGCGCCGCCTGCTCCTCGTTGGCCTCCTCATCGTCGCCTCCCGCGACCTCCTCCACAAAAGCAAGCCAGCTCCTTGGCAGCCGGATTTCGACTTTTTGCCAGAGCCAGGGCTTCGCGGCTTCGTACCACGCGTGGTTCACGAGACACAGTGTGGACAGGGTCTTGCGGGTGATCGGCTCCGACCAGTTGCCTGCAGGCAGTGTGGACGGTTGAGCAGTGGGGGTACCATAGTCACCCACCACCAGGGGGTCCAAAGAAGATGTAGCTGCGGGGAGACCTGACGAGTAGACGTGCGCACAGATGAGCAACAGGAGTTCCGGAGGGTGCTGGATAACGGTTGTCATAGAAGATAGCAGTTTATATGGAAGATTTAGTGCGAGAAAAGGAAGAGAAAAGAAAGGTGAGATGTTCGGGATTGCAGAGGAATGGACGGCATTTTATATGATTTTTGGAGCGGGGTCTCCATCTCATCGTCGGCAGCAATAGGCCCAGGTTTAACGTTAGGCTTCCCCGCATTACATAAAGGCTATAAAGGGACATGTCAAAAGCGCGGCTAGCGCAGATCAGCGCATATTTTTTTTAGTTCGCGTTCGATTTCCCTCAGTATAGCTTTTCCATGAATACAAGTCGCGTCTTTACGCGTATCTATTCATAAAGTGGCTGCTATGCCATTCCAGCGTATAGTGGCAAGCCGTCTAATCTGCTGGGGCTGCTTCAACCCCAACCTCCGAGACATGCGTACTTACGGCACTGCATTGCGCCATGTGATCCGAAATGCCGTGTGCCAGCAGACGCTTTTCGCCTGTTTGCCTTAACCGTTGACCACCCGTAGGCCACATGATGCCCGCCTCCTCAACTCTATTACTCAATCGTTTCAATACCCACACCATCTCTCCTGCAATATTACCCCTCGATTACCCCCATATTACCCCCAAGAGTCGCCCACTCCCACGCCTGGAGCTCATCGCAAATTTGACGAACAGTTGACGAAATATGATATCACCGCCTGTGCCTCACAAATTTCGGGCTTCTCATTAGCAACACTGATCGCTCAAAGCTACTCTGGCATTTAGGGATCCAAATTGCTGGGGTGGTGTGCTTCCCGGATCCTTCAACGAGGAACGTTGACCCTCATTGCCAATAACAGCATCGGTCCGGGTCGGCGAAGTCACGTTCGTGCCTTGAAGGCACACCGTGCTTCCGGCCGCAGCTATTGACCTACAATAGCCTACAATACGTTCTTAAGCGTCTAATGATCCGGGACGGTGATTCACTCTTATTAGCGCTTCTTATTCCAGGCCGTCCACCCAACCTGCTTAATCTCCTGAAGTCCTAGTACGTCGGTGTGTTGACTTCGGCTCTTGGCGCATCACTCAGCTGACCACTTTAACATATCAACATCAGGGTGCGACGATGGATCAAGCCAAAGTCCTGGGAAGATGAGAACACGAGAACATGGGAGCTCGAGGCCTCAGGCGCCCCTCTGCTTGCCGGAATGCCTCCGTTCTCTGTTTGGCTTGTCCAAGTCTCCCACAATCACCTTAATTCGAGTCTATTGATCCACGGTGAATTGGGGGTAATTGGGGGGTAATTCGACTGCTCTGCGTGAGCATGGGAGCCATAAACTTGGCTCAAGCTCTTGATCCGTGGGCAATCCGGTGGAGTATTTTTGGAACCCTCGACGTCGTGGGTCCCAGGACATGGAAGCATACGAGTACACGATGACAATTCTAACAAGTCATGGTCGATTTTAGGCTGCCCTGCAACTATTTGCTGGAGCTTGATGACTGCCCATTGACGGCTGCGGATTGCATTTGAACGGTCTATTGCCTGCCATTTGAACGGACAAAACGCCTCTCGGTACTAACATGGCCATCGAGATGGTCACAGGGCGTCGGAGCTCCTACAATGGCACTCTCACCCTGAAAAAACGAAAGCAGCAACAGGCCACACGTACGCTACCACATGCTGAACTCGATCGCCCATCTGATGCAATAATTACGACAAATGGCGGTTCAAGGTTACTGGATGTGAGTTTGACGACCGACAAACAACGACCACTTGACATACGGGCGTTTGTTCTTATTTTATTTGACGTACACACGTCCAATCGCCATTCCAGCACGTTCTTGCACCACATGACGAACGTTCCCCGTTTAGCCGCCGTTGCTCTCCACGGTGTTCGAATTTCACGCTTTTCGGGCTCCGGCTCAAATCGTACTCGATCCTTTTATTAAAACGGTGGCGGAAGTCTATCAGGAGTCGGCTCTGTGCTCTAATTCTCTTGTCAGGCCCCTCTGGTGGCGTGCTTCATCATCGTGAAGGGTCTCAACCTTAGGATCCCTGCCAAGACAGTATTGATCCACGAAAGTGGCATAGGCTGCCGCCGAGCCATCTCTTCGTGACGCCGAGTCACAGCAAGGTACAGCGGGGGTTCCAGAAGCGCCGAGATTCTGCACAGTCCGTTCGGAGAAAGCATCATGTTTAAATATCTAGGGTCACTGGAAATATAAAGGTGTCATTAATCTCGCAAGCGAGAGAAGTGAAAAACAGACACATGCGATCAGTGCGACAGCTGACGCTAAAAATAACATCGATGTTGCCAGATACATTGTACACACACGCTGCTTCTGGAAAGACAGGGAAGGGAAGCCCTGCTGACCACCTGAAATGACGAGACGTTACACAGTTGTGGGTGGCTGAGGAGTTGGTTTTACATGTACGGTCGCCCATGTGGTACATCTGACGATCCGAGTATTTGCCAGCAATGGAATATTCTTCGTAGGTTAGCTAGAATTATGGAGTATCCAAAATCTGCAATCCGCCCGATGCGTGAAGGGTGAAAGATTCGATGGTGGGATCGCCATCGCCTGGTCTCCTGCATACTCCCACGCAATTGTAAAATTGTAATTAGTGTTTGTGAAAAAGAGAAGATCTTGGCCCGCATAACGGGATTGTCTTCGATGTTCAGCCACGCATTACAGCTGTTCAACAAACCTTGTGTAGGCCGTTGTTTTCGTTTTCGTTTTTTTTGGGGGGCAAAGCACCCGCCTATAGCTCACGGTCATTGCGGGGCTGTGCGGTTTTCCTTTTCCAAAGGCCAATTTTCTCCCGCCTTCGTTGTGATGCCCCTCCACCCAGACATTGCCAGCATCATGCATGAGAGGATATTCCTTCCACCCAAGAAATCAAACCAAGTAAATCAAGCAAAAAATTAAGGAGTTAGATTGCGAAAGAAAACTGGTGGCACAGTGCTCGGAGTACGAACGAAAAAGTAATAGCCCACCGCGAGGGTCGAACTCGCAGCCTTCAGATGTCCAATGGACTAACCCGCCTATGTAAGAGTCTGACGCTCTATCCGATTGAGCTAGGCGGGCTGTGATATGCATTCCCCACAGGACATCCCAGCCACTCCGCGACTGCCCAGCTTGATTTTCAGATTATCTATGATCTATTTGAGAGATTTTACTTGAATTTTACACTAAACACGCCAAAAACATTGTCCAGAGCGAAACAGGGCAAGAGGGTAATAGCCCACTGGTACTCTAAAGCAACTGCGGGAAGCCAGAGTACAGTAGTTCATCAGAATGAATATCACTATTGCATTCTTTATTGTTGGCAAATTGCAATAGCACAGAAGTCTACCCCTGTCCAGACTCTGTGACCACATTTGCCTATGTTTGATCTTTCTGCATACCTATTCCTTAGCTTCTTACCATACGCTCTGGAATAGTACTTGGTTCTGTTTGACTTTCGTCTGATTCAATGGAGTCGCTTCAGGGGAGCGACTTACAATCAAGTTTACAATGCGCTGTCGTTCCATATTGTTGCGGGAGTGGCACGCCTGCCAAGATAGTTCTGTTCAGAATCCAGATAGTCATTTGAGGTCATTTGGTATCTGAGCGCCCCGTAAATTTAGCGTTTCTTGTTGTTTGGATGCCGTCAGAGTGAAGTGAGATTGTTCCTGATGTTGCATTGTGTATTGTCTGAAGATGGAAGCAGGTGCAAAACCTAGACGACTCATGAGACTTCCTCCGCCACACAGCTACATTTGCCGGTAAAATTTACGATATAATAGTGAGCAGTGATAATAAATGTCCAATTGTTCAGATCTCTCTCTCTCAGCCTATGCTATATCAGAACAGGTAAGGCCTAATTATCAACGGCAGCTGCACGCCCTTCTCCATCTCTGACCGGACAAATGGCCGCGACACGGCGGACTTGCTGCCTTCAATATCTTTCCCCGGGACTGCAAGCTCGATCTCAAAGGCCCGGACGAGGGCGAACAGAAGGGCTTTCATTCTAAAAGTGACCGTAAGCGAAAGGTATCGGCGTCAGGGATGCCATTGCTTACTCCACAAGCGAGAATTTGTAGCCGATGCATGCGCGGGGGCCTGCACTGAATGTTAGCTGGTGACCCCAAGCTCCTGGGACATGGTGCGCAGCTTCGGGAAGGGAGTTCCATCGATCCGGGCTTGATGCGCCGTTAGCTTGCGATCGATGTGCGAAGTAATGTTAACTTACTTGAACTCTAGCGCATCTTCACCCCATGTCGCTTTGCTTCTGTTGATAGGCCGTATGGGTATGCGCACCATATCACCTTTGTTGATTCTGCCCGGTATCGCATTAGCATATCTTCCTCCCAGATACATCGAAGCCAACTCACCTAATTGAATACTGAGGCATGCCATTTTTGTCGAGGAAAGGAGTTTCCACCGGAATGACAGAATCCCTCATTGCCTCCTTCTGCCCACCTACAACAGGCGAATGCAAACGCAGCACCTCACGAACGATATTTTCGAGATACGGAAGGTTGTTCAACTCCTCCATTGTTGGAGAATCGGTCGATACTTCTAGCAGCTCTTCGCGAAGTTTCCGCTGGACGTCAGGGGCCTGCGTGAGGCAGAAAAGAGCCCACGAAGTTGCAGTGCCGGTAGTTTCGTGGCCCGCAACGAGGAAGGTAGGGACCTCTACAGTTATGAGTCAGCAGTCTTATCAGAAGAACGACGCAAAGAATGCTCACGGGCAAGTACTTCCTCGTCTGACAAACGCTGATTCTCCGGCAAGTTCTTGTCCGTGTTGGCGCGCACCAGAAGACTCAATATATCTCGACCCTGGGCTTCGCTCGCGTCGCCATTTGCTAGGTTAAGTTTGGCCTCGACCAAAAGACTATTGCCGATGCGATCCATAATCCCCCTGGAATGTTGGACATGTTTCCCTCGTGACGAGGGCTGTGTACACGCGCGCGTATGATGAATTCAATGCCAAGTAAGAATGGTGTGGCAGGCTCACGATTGCATCCATAATCCAGCCTGGTACCCAAAGGCGAAGAGACGCTTGCCAGCCACTGCCTGAGGCACTCTTGAAGCTCGTCGCAAACGCTTTCATAAATTCGTTGGGTCCCTTTGTCACGTCCATAGCGTCAAATTGATAGTTGAAACCTGTAGAGTACGCGGTGGCATCAATTCAACCTGACCAGATATACGAGAGCACATGAGCAGACCTGCGAGACCAATTATGTCAAGCGTCGCTTTGCTGAGCCACGAGAGTCCGTCAACGCGTGCGCTCTGGTCGTCGGTAATCATAGTTGTCCACACATCGCGGAGCTATGCACATGTTAGCGGGAACTTTTACTAAAATGAAGGGCGACTTACCTCCAGTGCCTTTACATTGAAAATCTCCGTCAAAGCCCTGACCTGTGCGGGCCCAAAAGCTGGATTCTATAGCCCATGAAGTATGCATCAGAACCCCCATGATGAGCATTAGATGGCGAAATTCTCACAATGATTTTCCTCTGGCGCTTGTGAGGATCCCCCTCTGCGAACAGAACGCCTAAATGGTGTCAGAAGGATATTTCGGCGGAGGAAACATGGTGCCCACCTTCGCCGAGAATCTTGGCCAATCTGTTTCGTGCAATATCCGGTCGTCGGAAGTCATCGGTATGGTTCAGAATGTGGTTAATAGCCTTGGGATCAAGAGTGCAAAGGGTCTTGTTCTGTGGGATCTTTAGTTAGTAACTCGACAGCTCCTCTTTCCACCACTCACCCCAAAGATACCGTGTAATACCATGACCGGTCCGTAAATGTCAAGCCATGTAGTTAGGATTTCAGAAGACTGGCACAATTATGTGAGTGGCCTGAGCATGTAGTGGGTTCAAGCATAACATACCGAAGCAGCAACTTCTTGGATGTTGCCATACAGCCAGTGGGTCTTCCTCGGTCCTGGAAGGTTGCCCAAAGGCGATTTGATATGGCGGAATATCGTTGTCACGAGTTTTGATAGCGCAAGGATAGTCAATAATAGTAAGCCGGACCAGAGGGGTGATGCAGTGATCGTCATTCGATAGAAGTTATGTATGAGTTGAGTTGAGTTGATTGTGGGGGATTCAAGTTGAATATTCATGCCAGCCGGACCCGAGTATTTAAGACGTTGAAGGCAATGCTCGTTAGGTACAAATTTCGGCCGAGTTCTACAGAATCGCCGATATAGTGTGGCTTCGCGCGCAACTGGTTGAAGTTGCTATATCAATAATAAGCGCTTTTTAGCGAGCTGCGCTTGGCCGCGCTCGAATAGCCGAAATCAGCTCTTGCGCTTCTAGTACTGGTAACGATTAGGGAATGTCTGCTGGGAGTATGAGACGCATTGTGATTTTTGTCAGGTAGCATGTTCACTTCAAGAGGGCTGTAGTCAGTGAAACGGGAACCTCCCGCGTATTGGCGTGATGAGCTGTGGGGGCGGGAATCAAGTTGTTGCCCGGCCTCTGTACGCACATGTGGCGCGAACCTGTTTCTGATTGACAACAAGTTGTTGTCAATCGCAACGTTCTTGTCGATCGAAATTACATACCTGGACGCCTCTCGCCAGCCGGTGCTTTCAAGGGCAATAGACATCGGCAGTCCTTCGCACTCATCCCCTGTCCAGCGAATTGATATCCAAGGTCTCGCACATCTTAAGATCCCTTTGGTATGTTTTTCAACAAACCCAAGCATCGCGTGCTGACCATCGCGCACTGCTCCTGTCAAAGCGCTTGGAAGAGCTCTCAGCTGCAAGGAGGGTCTTGTTCTTCAATTGAAAGACCGGGATACACATACAATGACCGTAAAACGCGATCACACCGTGCTATTCAACCTGGATGCCCCAATCTCGGCCCTCCCGGAAGAGGTCCTCTCCATGATATTTCACGCGGGTATGGGGCCTCAACCAAATTCTCAACCCCATTTTGAGGTGCTAGTGTCTCATATCTCCCGCCACTGGCGCGAAGTTGCGCTAGCAACTTCCAGGCTGTGGGTAAACATCAGATGCTCTATTTCCTACAACATGGCCAGTTCGGAGCGAGATTTTATATCAGACCAACTGGCAAGGGATCGGATGATGGACAGAGCTTCCGCTTATTTTCTCAGATCCAGGTCATTGCCTATCACTATCCACATCGCCGGCCTGCGCAAGGACGATTTCAATCCTGATTTCCTCTGCCTGATAGGTGACCATATTGGACACTGCCTTCGGTTGCTCATTGAGCAAGTACCTCAACTAGCACTGCCAACACTGTTCACATGTTTCCAGCGCAAGGCAGTTCCCCTTCTGGAATTTTTCGAAATGACCAGAATGGCCGGAATGAGCGCCAACTATATCAGGGCGCTGGGAGTGGGGGAGTTCCAAGGTCACATTTTTTCGCTCGGCGCTCCTCGTCTGACAACCGCTGTACTTGGTGGTGTCCATCCAAGCCTTCTTCAATGCTTCACCCCAGCTTTTGCGTCGGTGACATCTCTGGTCCTCGAAGGCATTGTTATCGGCGATTACGAGGAATACAATCTACTCCGTCATGTGCTCATGGAGATGAAATCATTGAATCATCTCGAGCTACACCTGGACTATTTCACAAGTGCATACCTATCACTTGCGGGTGTTCCAGCATCACTCATAGTATTGAACACTGTTCAGTTCTTGCACGTGGGTGCTGAAGAGGGAACTCCATTCGTTGACAATTTTCTCAAATCCATCCACGCGGCATCGCTTATATCCCTCTGGTTAGACTGTGGGGCTAACGAAAACCCCCGGTCTCTCGAGCCGCAATTCCCTTCACTGAAGAGTCTAACTCTTAGGAACCTTCCAGTAGAGGATGGGTACGAACTCCTAGCGATGGCTCAACAATTCCCCGATATCGAGCGCTTGACTTGTCGCATCGGCCTCGATTATGAAGACCTATTTGTCGTCGATCATGTTATCGGAATGGTTCTTTGGGGCGTTGAAGATGTCGAGGAAGATGACCTAAAACATGAGCCATGTCCGCTATGGCTCAAATTGCACACCGTCGCGGTAAACGCGTCTGGCGGACTCCAGATGGCCGGCCGGCCGTTGACCGAAAATATCATCACAC